ACCTCTGGTGCAAATTACTGACCTCTGTCATCATTTTAAGTGGGGGAACTTGCACAATCGGTGGCTGACTAAATACTTTTTTGCCCCACTGTATGTTTGATGACATGTCAGTGCATCTCATGTTTGGGATTCAGAAAACAAATTTCCCAGTTGAGTATGACTGCAAACACTTTGAAAATACATTGGGAAGAAGGCTTGTAAAGTGCACAATCCTTAGTTAAGGTGTTGGGGTTTTTTGTTCCCTGTTCGGATGTGCTCACTTATCTTTGTGGTCTCTGCTGGACTTTGCAGGACGGAAAGAGATGCAACAAACTGGTCATCAGATAAGTTAAAATCTCTGCTTCTTGGATTGAGCGTGGAGAATGAGGAGGGAACGTGTGAAGTGACAGAAGTCAGCAAGGTGGAAGGAGAGGCCTCGATTAATAACCGCAAAGGGAAACTTATTTTCTTTTATGAGTGGAACGTGAAAGCTACTTGGACTGGTAAGTAGAAAACTAGCATTATTGTTTGTTTCATTTAAGGCAGTAGTTTGGTTTTAATTGTATCTCTGAAACTGGTCGTTTGGCTGCTAACAGTGGCAGTTACCGTCATTGCTTCCAGACTATAATTTAGCAGGCACTGAGACTTAATCAGCATTGTGCCAGCTTGTTTGCAAACATCTTGAATGCAGGGCACGATCTCTTATATGGTGAAGTTTTGCAGCTCAGCCTTAACAGGTAGATTTTTATATCTAATAGGGGGAAAAAGCTTCAGTGGCTTATAGAGAAGAGTGACTGAGCTAATATGTTGCATTTTTATTATCGTTACTAAAATAGGAGGCAGGTTTGAAGAGGCTTTGAATCTTTGCTGACATGTTTATTCTTTTTTGTTTGAACAGGAAAGTCAAAAGCAGGAGTCGAGTATAAAGGAACAATTGAAGTTCCAAACCTGTCTGATGAAAATGACATGGAGGATCTTGATGTAAGTTTCACCAAAGCACATGTGCACACTGATTCAGGCTGGCTGGAAGGTGGAGGAAGAGTTTACCGAGTTTACTTTCCTGTGTCGTGTCCAGATTTCTGTATCGTTGAACAAAGATGAACCCGACACGCTGCTGATGAACCTGATGAAAACGAAAGGAGTGGATAAATTCCGCGACGCATTGCAGAGCTACGTTGGGTTCTTAAAAACAGGTGAGCTAACGAACAGCAAATTTCTCCCAGAGCCTAATTGCTGAACACATTGAGATTATGCATGATTGTAAATCGTTAAACTCTTTTTGGGTAGAATTTGCGTTAAGAGTTTGCCAGATTCCGTTTAGGTCAAAGAAAAGGGTCAAATGCTTACCGTATTTCCCGGACTACAAAGCGCACCTGAATATTAGCCGCACAAGCTAAAATCAGGGGAAAATCCTGTTTTGTACATACATTAGCCGCACCTGACTAAAAGCCGCAGGTGTTTCAATGTTGACTTATCATATGTAAGAGAATATGCACAAAGGGAATTGTCAGGAAAGAGATGGCTGTTTGGAGACACATCACTTTTATTAATACTTTGAAAAACAAGTTATGGGTACATATTTGCATAACTTTTTAGGTATATGTACAAGTAGCGGTAATTACAAGTACGAAACATGTACTGTGCTTCATAAACGAGTAACAAATGTAGTACATAACAATAACCTACAGCACACCAGAAAAATAGATCCAGACTACCTTTTAGGCTCAGGTGCAGTGACACGGCTTTAACAAGAAGAAAAGGCAGTCATTCACCACCATCTTTCTCTTCTTCCTGCGCACTAAAACCACCAAAGTCCTCTCCTCCAGTGTCTGATTCGAACAGGCTCAGGATGGCTACGTCATCCACTCTCAGCTTCTTTCATTCGTTGTCGCTTACAAAACCAAAGAAATCCTCGTTGTCAGTGTCAGAGTCAAACACCCTCAGAAGGGCCGTGGCGGTGTCCTCCTCTCCATCATGCAGCAGTCCAGCCCTTCGAAATCCGTTGGTGATCATGGATGTTTTCACACTGGCGGACGGACATGTGACCACCACTCTTGAACCCCGATACTGTGTATCTGATCACATGCCCTTCCGCCAGGCAACGTAGTGCCGTACAAGAGCGGAACAAACAAAACAAATCGTCTTACGATATGACAAAAATCATGGACAATCCATAGAAAAGCCGCACCTGACTAAAAGCCGCAGGGTTCAAAGCTTGTGCAAAAAGTAGCGGCTTATAGCCCGAAAATTGCGGTATATTTATACAAATTCTTCTTTCTTTTTTTTAATTGCAGAATTCACACAGGGGATGATCCTACCCACAGCCAATGGTGTGGCCAAACCACAGTCCACATCACAGTCCAAAGCTAAGCTGGATAAAACTGAGGTTGGTGCACATCAATCACATAGTAAAGATTTTGGACTTTGACACTCACTTTGTCCCCATTTTATTTACTCTGATACCCGAAGCAGTGTTAAGCCTGCTTTCTGTGGTTAAATTCCCACCATTCAGTTGTTGTTCATGTCAGATTACGTGGAAGGTTTAAAGCAGTTTCTAGTTACGTCAAAAATTATGACGTTTCTGCAGAAGTCTAAACCAGGCTTTAGTTATGGCACATAAACTGATCTGTGCTCACCAGACTTCTATGCTTGTGTGGAACAGATTTCCTCCTCTGCCAGCACAGCCACTCCCGTCAACACCGGCGTCAAGATCCCCACCTGTAAATTTACACTGAAAGAAACGTTTCTCACCTCACCAGCTGAACTCTACAGGGTCTTTCTGAACAAAGAGGTGAGCCTCAGCTGTGTGTTTGATTGGAAACCCAGGCTGTGGTTGTGTCTTGTTAAGTCTTTCAGTAAAAATGGACTTTGCTTCTTTTGATTTTGGGGCTTCTTGTCAATAAACAGATGGTTCAGGCGTTCACGCGTGGTTCAGCCACAGTGGATGGAGAGAAGGGCGGAAAGTTTCGTCTGCTAGATGGAAATATTCTGGGCGAGTTCACAGAGCTGGTGAGTCTGATCTATGACATTTAAAAATAAGCATTTGTGTATATGAATCATTTACTTGACTGTACTGCACCACATTAACGTCACTTTACCTGAGTAAATTCTAACACAAGTCCTCTTGCTTTCAGGTTCCAGATGAGAAAATAGTTATGAAGTGGCGGTATAACACCTGGCCCTGTGGTAGGTTTCTATTTTTCAGTATGTGGGAACAGTGCTTACTATCATACAACAAATTGGACCATTTAAATTCAAATTTGAAAAAAAAAAAGTACTAGTATAGATGAATTCAAACACATAAACTGTGAAATAATAATTGCACAGCAGTGGTTTGTGTTATGGCTCAATAAAAAGGTCAGCTTTTCATTCACCTACTATAATTTTATCCTCATCTGTAGCTCACTTCAGGGTCAAAAATTATCTCCTCGGATCTCTCTTCCTTTTATGCTATCATGCTTTTATAGTTAAAAGTATGGATTTATTTATTTTTTGCCACAGAGCACTACGCCACGATCACAATGACGTTCTTGGACCGGAGCAGCGAGACAGAGCTGAAGGTGGAGTATCGAGGCGTCCCAAACAGCCAGGAGGAGCAGACGAAAGAGGGCTGGAAGAGATACTACTTCGAATCTATTAAACAGACATTTGGCTACGGAGCACGGCTCTTCTGAAAACTGTGTACTGTAGTGCTGTTTTGTTTTGGTTTTCTTTCCTGTTTTGGATTTTTAATCTTTTGTCCTTCGATCTCTGGCACATCCGACTGTAAACTCAGCACGACTTAACAGAAGAGACAGCATAAGTGAGGCCAATCCATCACCTCTCTGTGTGTAAATGTTTTCTTTTCTGAGCATATTTAAAATCAATCTTTGTTTCTGTTCCTCCTCCTTCAGTATTTGGATCAGTTGTTCAAAGGAGAATGAATGGACCGTGCCTTTGGGACTCGGGATAAATAATGGATTGAATAAAACAAAGGGATCTATCGCACCACTACTTCAAATTGGCCTCCACGTCTATAAATATGTAATTATTGCAGGAGATAAACAGAAATGTTTTCTTTTATTTGAAAAACAATGTTTAAAAAATGAATGTTTATTTTTTACTTGTATTGCTCATTTTGAGTCATTGTAGTGAAGATGCATGTTTTCATTCCAAACTGCCCCCCATGTGGAAGAATGACGTCCGATCACCTGCAGCGGAGCAGGACTGTACTCCAGCTTGTTCCTCTGAGACTAGATTGGATGCTCATTACAAGTGTAGCGTCTGTCAGCGTGGATCAGCAGGAGGAACATTAGCGAACCTCATCAGTGCTGGGACATGGAAACAGTCTCACCTCCTCATGCAGGTCACTGCGTAGCAACTGAAGAGAGATGTTTTTGCTTTATTTGGTTTCAAAATGTTAAAAAAAAAAAAATCCAGTAAAAATAACCTTTCAGAACAGAGTGCATCTATTTATTCCTCATTTCAAGCCATCACAGTGTAAAAAGGTTAGTTTACTGGAATAAACCAATCCCTATATGCTTGCGACTTGTTTTTATTCAACTTCTTTACATTCGAACTATCTGGAGAGTCCAATTATTTATTTACATAAGTTATTTATTTTCATATATGCAAAAATCTTTAAAACTTTTAATTTACAAGTGCTCTAAAAATAGACACCACAAAGGCCCCTATTTCTTAAAATAAGCACTTAGTTTGGTTTTAAAGATTGCTGCACATCCTACCGGAAAACAAAAACAAGCAAAAAATAAAGTAATACACTGAAAGCATCTAATTTGTATCAAAGAATATACATCTTCAAAATACAGTAAAAAAAAAAGAGCTGCACACTGTCTAAAAGTGTTCCAGAATAATCTCAAAACTCAATATTGTAATCTAAAGAGCATCATTATACAAGCATGTACTGCTCTACAAACACAATTTCCTAATCAGCAAGAAGAAGGAAAAAAAAATCTACAACTCAGTGCAAACTTCCACAAAAGATTCAAGTGATCCTAAAATATATCTGCTCCAAACAAAGATCCCTTATCCTCCCAAGAAAAGGAACTCTTTATTTACCCAAAAGCTGGACTTGAGCTAACGAAACAACTTGTACGTAGACGTCAGCTGAAGTATTGCGATTACTTAGCCTCACTTATTTGTGACCAAGATCCAGGACAGCAGAGACAAAAGACAAATGTAAGGAGACATAATGAAATGAGGCGCTGGTTGCACAGTCATAAGCAGATGTAGAGCTCCGACTCCTGGAAGAAGGAGAGGAAATGATTGACTAACTGAAACAAGAAGGGGTATTAACATGTCCGCAAAGTTCATAAGCTCTTAGTAACCAAGGTAACTGATAAGAATTTGTTCTCCGTCTTCACCCTTTCACCCACGGATCACCACAACCGTTCTCTAGACAAGACAAACACTGCTGAGGTAAGAAGTACTCTACACTTTTTCAGAGTAAAATTATCACTATGGCCTCAAGGGGGCGCTGCTGCAGCTTTTAGCATGCAACACGAAAGTGTCCACTACTGCCTGAGTGCCAGAAACACAAGTACACACATTCTGAGAGCTGATTGGTTCGGTTCACATGTTAGTTGGAGTAAGATTTTGTTTTTAGTTACTACGTACGCTGGCACTCGAGTCGTTGTCAAGTGAGTCGAGGCTACCTCGCGGAGCCATTTCCTCCACTTCAGGTGGTTTTTTAACAGAAACTTCATGCTGTTTGTTCCTTGAAACAAAGAAAAGGTCAATTATCATAAGAATTTAATAATGTTGAGGGCATTTGGAGGCTTTTTAAGAAGGAATTAGTTACATTGACATTAAAGGTACACTCTCTACCTGTATAAAGGCCACATACTCATGCTTCTGTTGTCCTTCTGGCTTGTAGGCGTGGTTTGTGCTACCAAGTCTTTGAGAAAATGGAAGAGCTTTTCTGACTCTATGCATTGCTTCCTATAAAAGCACAAAATGTAATACATTATATGCCAACTTTTCATATACATGCATGTGAACGACATGCTAAAAAGAAAAAAAGCAAACAAACTGACAGTATATTGATTTCATTTGCTTTTTTTGTTAAATATTCAATTTATTTTATTGGGGATAACTAATGTTAACAGCCTGGGAACTGTTTTAAAAACAACAGCATACAGTATTCTTGATTCTTGAGCCACCGCTGATTCTTTATATGAAAAAAAACAGACTTTTCTTATAATTTCTTATAAAATGGTCCAGAACAATAACTCCCCAAGCTTTCTGAAGGTCTTTCAAAGTTTTTCTTCAAACATTGGCCTCTTTTTCACTAACTTTCAGTCCAGTCCTTGTACCTGAATATTTTTATAGGAATGGTTTTTGTTTATGCTACTTAACATTGACCTATGAACCTTAAAAGGCCACGTAACTAAAGTAAGACGACCCATTTTGGTCTCATCCTTAACAAATAGGGTGGTGGGGGTGGGGGGTGGGGGTCATTAAAGACCTGGCACAGGACCTAAAAGCTGCATTTGAACCTTCAATTGATCCTTCTCTGTTTCGCTCAAGCCTCATCAGAAATGATCTCAGTGGAATGGTGGCTGTCAAGAAGCCATTAGTAAGGAAGGGAAACAGAGGAAAAAGGCTGAGGTATGCCAAAATATACAAAAACGCGACTGAAAATCAGAGGCAACAATGGCAAAGTGACACAACCTTTGAAATTTTTGGTTCAAATTGTCAAGTAGTATGGAAGAGTTCAGGAGAAAGACACAACATGTCTGTTTGCAGCCATCTGTAAAACATGGTAGAGGTTCTGCCAAGTTCGAAAAGCAATGCCAGCATCACTGGCTGCAGGATCATGTGATCCCCAGCATCACTGGCTACCAACACATGACGCTACCATCAGATTTTGATCCACCATGCAAAAACAAAGTATCTAATTGGCAGAATTTCATTTGTCAGCATGACCATACACACTTCCAATGCAGTAAAAGCATACGTGGACAGAAAAACACACAGTGGGACAATATCAGTCATGGATTGGCCTCCCAAGACTCTGGACCTCAAAATCAATGAAGCAATCTTGGATTGTCATCACAGAGATCACAACAAAAGGCAGCCAACATCGAAAGAAGAGCTTTGAATGTCCTTCAAAAATCCTGGAGAACTATTCCCACTTAATGAAATGACAAGACGGAGATTTCAGGCTGTGTTGAAGAATGAAGGTCCTCGTACCAAATATCGATTTTCACGGTTGTTAAAAATGTACAAACTCTATGTTTTATAAGTATGTCGGTGCATGTTTCAATAAATCGCTGCATCTATTTTCCATTTTCCTAGCAAAGTATAAAGAAGTAAGAGGTGGATCAAGATTGTTGCACAGTACTGTAACCTGTTCAGTCATTTTTTTAGTTGAAATTTGTGAGGAACCTCGTGCGTAGTAAGTCTGAGTGAATGCTGTCATATTCAGTTAGATATGAACAAGATTATAATTGCACGTATGTCTTCTTCATCTTCACAAAAGACAGTTTGCACGCCTGCAGCAGTCGAAGGTGAGCATAGATCTCGTGAAAATATCTGCCTCACTTACACTCATAATATTTCTCTTCCAGTGTGAAACCCTAAAGCACTGCTTTCAGAGATGAGGACAGAAAGTGAAACAGGTCATGTGAACCAGACTCACTGACAATAGGAGCTGGCTTTAGTTTATTGCTTCCAGCTGTTTTTGGAAGTCTTTCATCTAAATGTTCTTCTGTGAGCATAGAGTGTTGCATGCATTTACGCACAGGGCACAACACTGGTGATTTCATTAATTACGTCTACATATACCATCATTTCAGCATCTTGGTTGGATTAGTCTTGATTAATTCATAATCTCATATACTTGAGCTCAAATAACAAAGTCTTACTTACATGTGAGCCACAGACACAACAGCGCTGAGCTTGGACTCTGTAATCACGCAGGTTTTGGTCAGCAGAGACTTCAGGAATATCTCCAAGGCCCGAGCTTATTGATGCAGTATGGGATTTCACAGCTCTACAACACTTTCAGCATGTATTTACATACTTGCTTTGACATAATACAGTCACCATTTAACACTAGCTAACATCAAATATCCACACCATCACAGCAGAAAACAGTTCCTATCACCTGGAGGGATGTATCTTAGTGCAATAAACTGAACAATTTATTGTTGAGCCATTGTGTGTATTCGCTTTAATCAGCCTAAATTAATGTTTAATTCAGTCTAACCAATATCCAATACCTAAAACAACAAGATTCATTAGGACAGTTTATTTATTTTGCTAAGCGATTGGCACTTGAACGCAACTGACTTTAACTCCCAGCAAGTGCCTCAGGAGAAGCTGGAAGAAGATGCTGCTTCGGCAAAGCGCTGAGCTTTGACTCATAAAGGATACATATGATTACAGGAACTGCCATCGCCATCCGGCCCACCTCAGCGTCCTTCTGCATGATTTTTTTGATGCGCCTCTGGCAACAATATCAAAGAGTTTACAGCTGTTCAAGCAAATGGAAGTTACGGTGCATTGAGGAGCACTGAGTAAACTGCATGTAACTGATGAAATAACTGTTAATAGCAGCTGAAGGTGGGTTTTTTTTATGTGAAAAACAATGTGTGACATGTATGTACCAACTATTTATACTACAAAATAGGCCTACATACATTTCATTAAAAAGGAAAACAAGTTTCCCAACCACAACATAAAAAATGGAAGGAACAGAAAGCACAACGTCCTGCAAACTCGTATTCATTGAAAAAACATAGAAACACCTTATATAATGGTACCGTTTTTTGTTGTTATTTTTTAACGAGTAAGTAATTTAGCCTAGTAGAGCTAAAGCATTTTTATTAACATATCTCCTAGTTTGCTAGGCTAGCTCGCTAATAAACATGATTTCCAGCAGTCTTTGAATGCAACAGTTGTCACTCGACTACAGTTACCCGTTAGCTCGTTTGGCAGCTTTCATTTTCCACATTATTCCACATTTACTCACAGCAGGGAAGCGTACGTTATATCTTCTCTTCTGTCCGGACATTTTCGTCGCTTTAATCCGCGCCGCTCGAACACAGTTTTCATATTTTTACCGCAAATCGCTGCTTCGTCCATATGTTTACCTTCAGCAGGAAGAACCCCGCAAAAAATGCCCCAGAAAAGAAAAAACACACACCTGAGGTCAACCTGTCCTGACCCCGACAATGACGTCATCACACTGGCGCGTTAACAACTCGTGCTAAAAATGGTTTTAAAAAAAATTCAAAACGTTAACTATTTAGGACTTTAAATACCATTAATGTCAGTTCAAATGTATTTATATAGTACCAGTTCACAACAACATTCTCAGCAAGACGCTTTACGTTGTCAGGTAAAGACCTTACAATATTAGAAACAAAGTCCAATAATCAGATGGCCCCCTATGAGCAAGCTCTTGGCGACAGTGGGAAGGAAAAACTCATTTTTAAAAGCACAAAACCTCCAGCAGAACCAGGTTCAGGGGTTGGGGTGATTGGAAAGAGATAAGAGCAGCGTGAGACAGGACAAAACACACACATGGGAGAAAAAGCCCGAGTTTAATCATCGCTAATGATCAAATTCAATCGAGTTGGATAAACACTTGGAGAGGGAAGAAAGACAAATAAAGTAGAAACACTCAATCCATGGGATATGGGAAGGCCTCAGCAGCCTAGGCCTATTCCAGTATAATCAAGAGATGGTTCAGGGTCACCTTATCCAACACTAATTATAATCTTTATCAAAAACCAAAATTTTAAGCCTAACCTTAAAAGTAGAGAGGGTGTCCAAAAAGTCCAAACTGGAAGCTGGTTCAACAGAAGAGGGCCTGAAAGCTGCCTCTGTCAGGATAATGGGACAAATGACGCCTAAAGGACATATCCTGTCAGCAATAACTCCAACATCCCTCACAATGTTACTGTTACTTAACATAGCCATTATTTGACTTATATTGGAATTCATCTATTTATTCATTAATATTACCTACAGCTAACATGACAAATTAAAAAATAAAAGCATGTCCTGTAGGCTGCTTTTCAGATTTTGCAGCATTTAGGCCATATATCGGGCCCTCCCCTGCACCACTATGTGCGATTAAAAAAATAGTGGATGTATGAATTTTGCATTTACTATATTACTACATGAAAACATCCACATTAATCATGTTAAGTACACAAATAAAGAAATACATATTATTAAATAAGAAGATTTCAAGTTTTTCTGTTGTGGCCACAGGATATTTTTAACACTGAAAGTCCTCTTACATAAGTTCACATTTTAAAGCTGGCCATTTTGCTTTTTTAATACTTCACACAGTTTTTGTTTGCATTCACGCACCATCTGCTGGACTGAAGACCACCCGGAAAACACGGATGTTTTCATTTGCTTGCAGTGACAATTGATCTTCAGCAGAGTATCACTCTGCCTGGACCACTCTGGCTTCACTAATGACTGCAAAGGTTAATCAGATAAGGTTAATCAGTACTCACTGAAAAAGATTATGTAAGACTAATAAAGCATCGACACCAGCAGGACAACTGTTATCTTTACTTAATGCATGCATGTTCTTTTTTAAACATATTTGTGCCGACTGGTGGTAATTGGTGCATTTTTCATTAACACGTCTGGTCTCAACTAGTTTAGATTTTAACCATTTATAACCTGGGACATTTTTTTTTCATGTAGCACCTTTATGGAAAAGGAGAAAAATATAACCAGCCATTATTTCAATTCAAATATATCAACGGGATTTTGGAATAAAAGCATCTTTCTGCTTCTAAGCATTTTGTTTGTAGTACTTTTCTTACATACAATTTTAGATCATAAGAATATAAAGGTTAAGTAAGGGATGTCAAACTCATTTTAGATCGTAGGCCACACACAGTACAGTCAGCCCACTTTGAGTTTGAACGAGTGAAACTCACCTTTCTGTCAGTGTAAAGAAGTTTAAATACACATTTAATCCCTGACATAGATTATATAAGAAAAAGTGCAATTTCAGCTGTAAATCTAAGTGCTATCGAAATGACAAAGAAATGCTGCTGAAGTAAATGAAAGAAATTACACAACTCTTTTGCAAAATTACAGAAACTTCATGGTAGCGCATTGCCCAGAAAGATTTTTTTAATGTAAACTCATTGTAAATAAGAAAAAAGAAAAGAAAAAAGAATTGAAAAAACAGGAATGTTGTTTATTTATTACTTTGGTATAGTATGAATTGCCATGTGTGAGATCTTTATCAGAGAAAAGTTGTAAAAGGTATGAAAATACAGTTAAAAATCCAAAGTTTATGCCCTCCTTTACAGTTTTTGACTCTATCCAATGGGTCAGATTCCTGAGCCAATTCTGGCCCTCGGGCCTTATGTTTCACACCCGTATGCAGTCAAACAAATAAATCCAATTTTCTGATGATGTGACTGATTAATGAGTGAACTAAAAAAAATTAAAAATAATATTCACTGCATCTTGATGCATTCTCAATCATCCAGGTAAGTAAATCTCCAAAAGCTGATTCTGTTCATCTGGACGTAGCGTGCAGATAACGCTACGTCCAGATGAACAGAATCAACTTTTGGAGAATATTCACTGCATTCTTATAAAATAACATTGCCCCTCAGCCCATAAAATGCCCTGCAACCTGGCATGTTGCAGACCTGGGATTGATTTTCTGCTGAGACGTACAGATAAATATCTCAACCCTAATTCAGGAAGTGTGGCCTAACAACATTAAAATCAGTTACACTGCCTGATAAAGGTGCATGGCATTGAATATTTATGTGTGGTGGTTGCGGGGAGAGCAAACAAAACAGCCTCCAGTGTGTTTGAGGGGGAGTTTTGAACTTAAGAATCTTGCAGGTGGGGATCTGAGTTTTTGTTTCCCCTCAAGGAATCAACTCGAGTCTTTCCACAGAGAGGAATTTACAGCCACTGTAACTGTAACACTGACTATACAAGAGAGGGAAAAGAAGAGAAATAAACCCAGCCCTGCCAGGACCATGACAAATAGTAATATCTGGCATATTTAGCCAGCTTAGAGTGCTGAGTTCATTATACATTCATAGCACATCATAACAGAATGGAAAAAGTAGTGTTATGTAACGCCACCTGGTGGACAGCTTTTGTGTAGAATAAAGACTCGACAGAGGGATTGGAATCCCACAACTCTGAGTTTTGTTCACTTGAAAAGTTGTAGTACTCGAGACACAAACGAGAGAAATAAAAAAAAAGCCGTCTGTGTTGGTTTGCAGGTCCCTGACACGTGGAGCTCAGTCAGTGCATCTTGGAGCATCAGGCCAGTCTACCCGGCCCATTCAGAGGTGGCTAGTCCTTTCACATTTCTCAGATTGCACATACTGGAGTCTTCTCCTTGACTCCTATCCTTAACCCCCTTTGTACTTCCCACCAGTGATGCAGGCAGAGGAGAGAGGAGTGGAGTCAGCAGGCCTTTGACAAAATAAGAGCACCTCTCTTCAACGCTTCATTTTAAAGCAATTTCAGTTAAATATGATCTTTGGCTCAACTGCATTATAACTTATTGTCGTTGTTTTTTATTTTATTAGCCCAACTACATCTGCATTTTATGATGTAGCAATGTTAATAGGGTGTTATATTTTCTGGGCAACTTTCAATTCAATTCACAGCACAGTGCAATTAGAAAAGACATGACACTTTTTATTAATGCACACAGAAACAGTGAAGGGCAGACAGATTGGTCATGCTACATAATTGAAACAACATCTGTGTGCTAGACTTCGTTCATACACTGAAGGTGAAAACGCTTCTGAAGAGAGTGCATTCATACGTCCTGTGTTACAGCTCCTCCTGCATCGTCTTTTTCCTCTTTCCAGGTGATGAGTATGCAAAAATCAGGAAATGTGAACGCAAGGCCTTAACTTTTGCTCACTTTCAATCCACCAAGATCCGTGTTAGCAGTTCAGTTGGTTTCTGACTTATTAATTTAGTTTTATATCATCTAGCCACCAGAAGCAAAGCTAGAAGTGTCTTACCTGGGCTAAGGAGAAAAAGAACTGGAATTCATTTCAAGGCTGTGGAAAGAGTGGAGAGGCTGAAAATGCAACCTGTTTGAAGCCCAGTGTAAAGTTTCCACACTCTGTGATGATTTGGGGTACTGTGTCAATTGCTTGATGCTGGTGATGGTTGGTCCATTGTGTTTTATAAAGTGCAAACTCAAAACTGCCGTCAACCAGAAGATCTTAGAACACTTTGTGCTTCATGGAGATGCCAATTTTCTTTTACATCAGGACTTTGCAGCTGCCCACAGAGCCAAAACTAAATGGCCAAAACTACTGCCAAATGGTTTGCCAATGATGCTGTTACTGCCAATAGAGAAACTGTTGTGCATTGAGAAGAGGAATATGAGAAATGCCCAACCAATAATACAACTGAGCTGAGGGCCACTATCAACTGTCCCCATGCCACACCACACTGATGTAGTAATGCATAGTAAAGCAGCCCCAACCAAAGATTATGTGTTTGCAGAAGAGCATCTCTGAATGTACAACATGTAAAACCTTGAAGCAGATGGCCTACAGCAGCAGAAGACCACACCAGAAACCACTCCTGTCACACAAGAACAAGTTTTGACTTCTGCTGCAATATTCACATGGTAGGCTCAGAAATTAGGCATTTACAGCATTTCATCCTGCAGCAGTGGTTCTGACTGATGGTGATATGGTGGTGTGTGCATTTTTGAGCTCCTTAATACCAACTGGACATTGCTTAAGTGCCACAGCCCAAGTTTTGCTGCTGAGCATTTCCATCCCTTTATGACCACAGTGTCTCATCTTCTGATGCCTGCTTCCAGCATGTTAATATGCCATATCACAAAGCCCAGATGATTTCAAAGGGGTTTCTTGATCATGACAATGAGTTTACTGTAATCAAATGGCCTCCACAGTCACCTGATCAATAGAAAACAATCACCCAAACTTTATTTATGAAGCACATTTCATACAAGTTGGAACATGGACAGGAAGTTTAATGCCCACCGAGCTACAGAAACGATCCAATAATTAAAAATTTATGAGTTGTTGTAAAATGATTGGCAAAAAATAAAGACACCAAATCACTCAAAATAAAGAGATTGAACAAAACCTGCTATACAGTTTATGTCAGAACAGTAAAGTACGGGAATGCCGGTGAGAGAAAGA